TTTTTTTTTTTTTTTTTTTTTTTTTTTTTTTTTGAGTACATTACAAAAATAATTTTGGTTAAGAAATTTACAAGAATAGTAATGCATCACTGATCTTTTTTTGCGATTCTTCATCACAAATAAACATTTTTGGCAAAGGTTCTACGTAAAGAATCAACTAGTGTTGAGCGATATAAACTTTTTTGTTTTATCTAGTTGTGACAAATTCTTGCACAGGTAAGAAATTTGAAAAATTTAGATCTATTTTCTTGGTTGTAATTCGTAGGTACCAAAGGTCTATTCATATTGTTATAGCTGATCAATAACATGAACTCATCGTTTTTCGGGGAACACTGTAAACAGTCGCTGTTTTTGGTTGACCATTTCAAAGCTTTGTCAGCGCTTTCGGCTAGTAAGTTGAAAGAATGGGCTCTTCACGTTGTTGTTGAATGAGTCGGTCTAGCATCTTTCCTGAAGTTGCAAACTAACGGTTACATTGTTTCTTGCCGTTTAAAGCATATTTAGTTGTAACAGTATTTGCTCCCTCCCTGCTACAGCTCCACCGTTTTGTTTTTTAGTTCTAGAAACTAAATACTCCATTTTTGAAGAACCTGCTCTGCTGATTAATTACTGTATTATCACTAATGAATAGTGGGGAGCATATGAACCGATTTAAACTATTAATGAATAGAGAGAAATAAAGTTACTATTTCACAGCACTCAATCGGTATTTCTGCATTGTGGATACCACGGTACTCTTTCAAATCAGAGGGACCATTGGTGAGGCGGAGGCAGCGATCTTTCAGAATCATTGGGTGTTGCAGGGGGCTGCTTCACTGCATTCGAAACAAATAAAAATATAAGTTTAAGTGACTGTTAATCTGAGATTTGGTAATTCTTCGGGGGTTTTGGGATGACGGTGAGACAAATGGTCGGTTAGATCATTTGCGCTGTATTGGCTTTGTTTCAAGGAAGCCAAGATAAGTTTCTAAAACTGGTTGGTAGTAACTGAGATTTCCAATTCTAAGTCATTTTTTTTTAATTTTGTGAGACCGCAGCTCTTCAGCAGCTTTCCGCTTTATTTAACATCAGGAATGTGAGAGGGTGTCCTTGCCATCTAAAATCATCGTTCTGCGACTCACGGTTACGTAGTGAAACGCTGTATTATGCCGGCAGGTCTTCACTGTTTGGAAATCATGGGTTTAGTGCACTATTTGAGGCTTGATTGTAGATAATTTTGTGCCTTCATTCTCACCTTGCTCTTTTTAATTTTTTGATTGTTAAAAATTAGGGCTTTTAATTAATAAGAGAGTCGAATTAACCTCTGTTACCGTTACTTCCAATTTTGCATTCTCTTCCAGCGTTCTGCGCTTTCTCGAGGCGTTCTGTCGCGCTTGCTTGTCAGTTCAACTTCCTCTCATTTACTACAGTTTGCATAGTTATAAATTGTTTCAAAAATTTGGTTGAGGAAGTTTTGTAAGCTCTAGAGTTGACTTTGATGTGTGACTTGAACTCTTTGTAACAATCGGAGCCGGGAAGAAAGTAGACTTAAGATTACGTTCAAGAGGCATACTAGTTGCTTTCTCATCTAAACGCCCTCTCTTGGCTATGGTTACGCGAAAAAAGGAGTATATTCTAGTTGTTATACGACTCTGCAGTGTTGTGTCTTTATTTCCAATTGTTTCTGTCCTCTGTGTTTGGTGAAATATTCTGCTCGAGATTTTTTGAAATCAATTTTTTTTGGTGCTATGGAAGCTTTTTTTTTAAGGGATATATTAGGTCTTTATTTAAAAATTTAATGGACGCTAGTTTAAAAAACTTTAAATGAAGGAGTTGAGATTTTTGAGCCTTCTTAGGTGTGTTTTGAGCAAATGTTAAATGTATCTTGTTTGCAGAAATGAATAAGTCAACCCATATGCTGACGGACAGCCAAGGAAAAAGAGAAAGGTTAATTTAATTACGGTGTTAAACTACTAAAATCTCCTATTTTATTTTGCTCTACAAGTAAGGTGTAAATCACGAATTATCATTGGAATTGAGGTAAAATTGTAAAACTGCTAATTTTTTTGTTTGCTTAAGGCAGTGGTTTTTGACCTCAATTTTTTCAGTTTTTGATGAATTCAAGTTAGGTTTTGGGATTTCCATAGAAAATGAGGAAGTTTCAGACAAGTTTTCAATTTAGACATTGAAAGATGATAAAAAGGAACATGGTAAGATTTTGGGAAAAAATACTGCAAGAGAAACTGACTTCTGTAGATGTTTACAGTTTCGGCTCCTGATTTAAATTTTTACTGGAAATCTTTGGGTCACGTTGTTTTAGCAGCATCGGAACGTCGATTTTTCAACTTCATCGAGAACTGCTCCAATTTTAGCTGATTTTTTGTCTCCAGAAGTAGCTTTGAGAAAATTTGAGGATTTGTAATGATTTTTGACTTCAGTGTTCCAAGTTTCATTCCATAGCTTTCGTTTTTTTTTTATTTTCTTTTTTTCGGCTTTGTTACCAGCTCGGTATTAGGAATTGGTTCAGAGTGGGGTCAGTTCTAAAGAGAAGGGAGCTTGAAGTGTTTAATTGATTCATTGAACTTCTTCATATCTGCTAGCAGACTGATGTCTGTTTCATACTGGTCAGCGCTTATCAACAGCAGTAGTGAAAAGTTTTACTTTATGGTTAATTGTTTGCCATGTCGCAGTCTCGTTGAAAATTTATAAATCTGTTTTATTTTTTTCCGATCGTTTATTTGTTTCTGATTTTCTGCGCTTATTTCAGAATTTGCAATGGGATTTCACACTGACACTGCAAATTTCTTTTACGGCGTGGTAAAGAAGCGTGTTGAATGTAGGCTGTAAAATTTTTAGGGACCTTTTTCACTTCATGTGTTTAGTAGACCCATGAGGTTCATTAAGTTTAGCTGCTGTTTCTGGCTTTTGATGAAAGGGCTGCTTTGCTTCAGCACTAAAGTCATTTTTAAAAATTAGTTTTTGAAGGAATTTACCAGCCTCTTGATGAGTCATACTGGTCTGGGACGTCTGGCATGAAGTTTACTTCTTTTTCCTTTTTACAAAACTTAGGAGGCTTATTTATGCTACTTTTTTTTGTCCCCGTGAATCGCATTTCCCTCGAGTTCAAATAGATTGATTTGAAAAATTATCATTTAGCGGATGTAGTGTTTGACGAAAAAAAGTTTTTTATAGGGTTTTGAAAAGCAGTCGTTGTAGTTGAGTAAAAAATTCTTTAAAATTTGGTTGATATCTCGTCTCTTTAGTTACTGACGGTTAATAGAGAACTTTACAGTGGGGATGAAATGAAAAACAATGACGGTAAACAGTGGGTGAAGCCTTTAGAGGTTCGCCGGCCTTACGCCTTGTTTTTTGATCTCTAGAACTAGTTCATCTAAAACGATTGCAATCGATCTCCGGTAATGTTGTGGGGGCGATGCTAAAAATAAGCTCTTGCAGCTGACTTTCATAAAAAGACTGTTTTCATTTTAATGATTCTGCTGATTGAGTCAGTTTTAAAGCCTCTGTTGTTTAAAAATAGCGATACGTTAGCGCGTTAGCCTTGGAGCTTTTTATAATCCTCTTAATAACTTGTCGGCTGCAAAGGAGGACCAAATTTCATCTTGTAGTAACGCGTCGACGTTGATGCGCTGATACTGGTTGTAAGTATTAAGGTTGCTCGATGATAAGATTTACACAAGTGGTACCACGTTTTGCCATTATCATTATGAATGACATTGATGTTAGTTGCGAAGTTTATTGGTAAATCATTTTATTCAGTCGACTGCGGTTTTTACAAATACTCTCGACTGAACTAAAATTTGCCTGAAATACAAGCTAAAAATTCACGTGTCGCGGTACTGTTGGCTGGTATTTGATACTTTGTTTTAGTTTTTGCTAAAATTTAGCCGGAAGGCAGGGAATACTGATTTGATGTTTTGCTGAAACTTTTGTTCCTCTTTTTTTTTTGTTGTTGTTGTGTTCTGAGTGTTCTTTCTCTTCTTTCCTTTTCTTTTTTTTCTTTTTTTCTTTATTGAGGCTATAAATGGGTAAACGGTCTTTCGAACTCTTGAGGATGGTACAATAAAAGTGCTGAGTTATGTGCATACACACCTGCCATCTGCAAATACGTCGAAGCAGTATCGACTTCAGGTATCCGCACTTGGCGGGGCAACGGCTGACTTCTTTAATTGATGCAGCAGCACTTGATCTTTCTAGTTTACGTGTAATCTATATAGCCGTAGTTCCATCAATTTTTGTATTTTGAGACGTTTTTGACAATGCTTGTTCCCTATCATTTATTTCCGTGCTTTTTTCTTGAACAGACTTGGAAGTGCTCCAAGTGAATCTTCTTGTGTTGAACACTCAGCAGTGGACGCCATAAAAATTACCTGTTATCTTCCTTGATTCCTTGACGACTTTGTAATTGATAATGTTTCTTTTTCAGGGTCATTTTAGCAAATTCTGTTGGCAGTAATGGTAGAATTGGATAAAGAGTTTCCCAAGGCTTGGCCATTTGGTGTCATTAAAACGGCGCAATGGGTATGTTTTTTGTTTTCTACTCTAAAAGTTATGGGTAAGTAGATAAGTATCAAGTATATATACATCTTTTCCTTTTCTCAAATAAGGAAGTCGACCTTTAGTTTCGATTTGATTTTAGCAGCTTTTTTATTGCAGGCTTCTTGTTTACTACTGCTGATAACACTATGGCTTGTGCCATCCCACTTTTCCGGTATTGGATTTGTTTTTTTCTGTGCGTGGACTTTATTACTTTTTGGATTTTTTTCCTGGCTAGGGCACATTTTTGGTCTTCAGTCAAGGCTTTTCAGCATTGGACAGTCTGCAGCTTGTTTTATACCCTTTGCTTTACTTGTGAGTTACTTTGCTTTTTAAAGTTTTGAACTTCGATTAAGGATTATGGCTATTTGCTTATTTGAACAAGGAACGGACTCTTTCATAGCATGAAACAAAAAGATCTTTATGAAATAAGTGTCGTTTAAGAGTTTGCTGGTGTTTTTATTCAAAATTGGAACTTTGTTGCCCAGAGTCTGGCATGGGACACTGAATAGCACATTTTGCAGGATTTCTTTTACTCGGTCGTATTCTTCATCTTTTTTTCCATTTCGGCTCTGATTTGCATTATTTGCGTATTTTTATCTTTTCCGTACGCTGCAGTCGTTAGACTTGTCCTTGGATATTTGTTCGCTACGGCAAGCTTGCTTCCTTCGTTTTTATTTTTTTTATTGAGATGCATTATGAATACTAAGCAGAGGATAAGAATGATATATATTTTAATTGAAATCTTGGTAATAGATTAGACTGGAGATTCCGAATCTATGTAGGTTGATAAGTGTCTTTACACTATTGGTGTTTCAAGAAAAAGCATTTTTTCAGATTTTCTGCTTAGCTGCTGCTGGTTCTAGTGCATTTCTTGCTATTTTACTTTACCGGTCAGCACCGAATGGACAAATTCTGGGATTACGTTCAGTAGTGATTCAAGGTGAGAAGACAGCTTTATTTGGTCCTTCAAATACTGCCGGTGGTGCTTATCCGACAGCTGGTGGTTATCCAAATGGCACGAATCCGGTTTAGAACATGTGATTAAAAGAGACCGATTTTGAGGCTATTTTTGGATGTTCTCTTATATAGTCAAAAG